ACTAATGCCCCTGCTGGGTGTATGGAGACATAAGGTGGAACTGTAGGGGAGCTGAGCTGGCTTAATTACACTCTGGGCTTGTACAGTCTAGCTTATTTTAATTGGTGAATCCTCTTGAGCAAATCTGTTGTGTAAGTGGGGCAGCTGGTACAGTACATTGTAGCAGCTGTAATTTTGTGGTGGATTAGGTGGGTTTCCTCCCATGTGTAAAGCACCTTGGGAATGAAAATTGCTGTTTAAACAAAACACAAGGAACAAAATTGCTTAATGTTCAAATTCCGTCACTCTCATTCATTTAAACCATGACAGTTCAGTTAAGACAATGTTCTTCTTGTGGGGTGATGATCTACAGTATTTTTAAATGACATTGCCATGTACTGTACATCGATATTTTGTGCTGGCTTACCTGACACTGCAGCTTTCTTACCATTTCAGTCGTGGCTGCTAATGACCTGAAATGGCAGACCTCTGGAATGTTCCGTCCCTTCGTGGAGGTGACGATGATTGGGCCGCACATGAGCGACAAGAAGCGCAAGTTTACGACAAAGTCCAAGAACAACAGTTGGGCTCCGAAGTACAATGAGACCTTTCACTTGTAAGTACCTCTGAGAGAGTCTCAGTTGACAGATGACAGCACTTTTCTTTCAGCAGATCCCAGCTTTCAGTCCTGAATTAAATGTTTCTGCCAATCGTTCTGTGAGCAAAGTTTCATTTACTTACTGTGCAGGATACAGAGAACAGAAAACGAATGTGAAACCAAAAAACATGCAGTTTGTCAAAAGTTAAAAGTTAAAAGTTCGTGCTAGTCTGCCTCTCTCTATGCCACAAAGACATACAGATACAGCATAAAGTGCTGAGGATGTGTTGCAGATAAAGGAGCTCTGTGGGAATCCGTGCGAATAGTGACAGTTCTAGCCTGGGTTCAGTGGGGATGTGTTCCTACAGTATGTACACTGTTTCTTTCATATATCAGTGAAGTATCAGGGCTTCATTGGGGTATTAGTATTGGAAGTATTGATAATATTACCTCTAAAAATGATTTTAAAAAATCCACTTGATACAGAAAAAAGTTTTATTATTAAATTGTTTGCAAAAATGCATAATATTTGGCTACTCCCCAAAGTATTCAGTCACAGCTTGTGTAGACTAACCCCTGTCTGCCTTCCCTCCTCCCACTTGGCAGCAGTGGGAGACTGATGGGAGGAGCTACATCTGCTTGTAGGGGCCAGGCTGGTTTTATCCTGGGGTCATTTAATACTTCTTTTTGACAAGCGATTCCAAATGGCTCTGGCCGTACGATATACATATACCACGGTCTCGTTGGCTGAGAGCTTGAGCGCCGTCTTCTTGCCACAGTTTCTCTTCAGCGCAAATAGTAGCTTGACGCTCAACGAATAGGCTGTGCTAAGTGCGCTCCAGGTGCATCTGCCTGGCCTGTACAGTATGTGCATTCTCGACAGCTAAAACAGCCATTCTCCTCTTCTATAGGTGTATTTGGAACAAATAAATTGACAGCCAGGACAAAGAGTGCTATAGAGAATCAACACTAATGGAAGGAGCTCTAAGCATGGCATTACTGTGTAGAGATAGTGGGGGAGGACTGTTTTACCCCTGTATTTAAAAACCCATTATGTTCTAAGTTCATGGGCCCATGCTGTCTTCCTGTGCAGTATCCTGGGGAACGAGGACGGCCCGGAGTGCTACGAGCTGCAGGTGTGTGTGAAGGACTACTGCTTCGCCCGGGAGGACCGCGTGCTCGGCATCGCCGTCATGCAGCTGCGCGACCTGGCCGACAAGGGCAGCTGTGCCTGCTGGTGCCCGCTGGGGCGGCGGGTGCACATGGACGAGACGGGCCTGACGGTGCTGCGCATCCTGTCCCAGCGCACCAACGACGAGGTCGCCCGCGAGTTCGTCAAGCTCAAGTCGGAGATACGCTCTGCCGAGGAGGGGAGATGAGGAGGGGGCGGTGTGCTGGCGTCAGGGCTGCGCCGGGCCCCTGGAGTGTTTCTCCGGTGGGCTCTCTCTCTGCACAATGGGTGCTATAGCGCGTACTCCTCTCCATCTGCCTTGTGTCTCTGCCACGGTCTCTACTGATCAGCGGATCAGGCTGCTTGTCTGGCTTTGATTTTATGTGAGGCATCGTAAACTGGTTTGGAAAAGAAATCCTATTCGGTTACATTTCTGGGCTGGAATATTTATCTCCTTTTCATTTGTTTTAGCTGTGTTTCATCTACAGCCCTTGCCTTATATTTCTTTATTAGCTACAGATGTGATGCATGGACATGGACTGTATGCTGTTAAATGCAAATAGTGTCCTGCAGGTTCTTTGTTTATTTTCTGTCAGGTGACATCCCTTTAAATTAGTCTTTGGCTGATTTGGTTTCCCAGTTAAAAAGACAGAAAACATGCAAATCAGAGAACAAGAAAAGATGCTTTTTAATTAGCATCTGAGCCATTGTGAGTTTTGCCTCATCAATACCTTAAGCACAGTTAACAGTAGACTCTGATCACACTAATCTTATAATCTGATTAATTTGTATTTAGTCCTGCAGTTTACAAGTTGATATGTGTACATATGGTTCTACACTCAGTTATATATTGTACTATGTGCTACAGTCTTTTCAACAGATCGGTATTGTTTATAGAATACAGTAATTTCAAATACAATTTTAAAATAATTATGAATAATAATGATAAAAAATATTAAACAATCTATACCACAGAGGGCAATGATTATAATTTGGTCAACTGGGATCTTATTGTAGCCAATGAATTGTCTTTTTACCCAAGGTGTGTTGCTGTGTAATAAACAGAAATCGCAGCACACTAAATATAAATATTAATTCATTTAAATTTACAAATCCAGAATGTAATGTTTTCTGTTAAACTTTGAGCACCTTTAAGATAGAACCAGCATTTTTTCCATTAATTAAGACACCATTAACTGTGCAGAAACACTGACTTTATTTTCACAGTATTGTGAGAAAATGACCTTAGCATGTACCGAAAACATTTTTTGTACTGTAGATTGTTGTGTCCAGTATGTGTGAGTTGCATGGCTGTATGGATTATTGCACAGTAACCATGTATACAATACATCCATGCGTATTCCATGTTCTGCAACTGAAATAATTTTTAAAACGTATTACTGAACATAACAGATATAATTAGGAGATATTTGTTTACTAAAACATGATTACCAGAAGCATGGGATTTGATATGAACCTTACGTTCACTAAATTAACATTCTGTGGTCTTAGCTATTGTAGCCTACTGATTAATCTGACAGTTTCATGTGTAATGTGCTGTATAGCTTTTTCAGATATCACATAAGTTAAAGAAAGTTAATTTAATTATTTAGTGGTTGAAGGTTAATGAGTTTTTTGTTATCCACTTTATTTTGATGTCTTCCCTGTTCTTGAGAGTGCATCGACCAGTTTATGGAAGGCCTTGTATAAAATTCCACTCTAGTTGTAGCAGTAGTTTGATAGAATAATTACCCACAGAGTGCCTTCCCTTAGTGCAAGTTGGACTACATATTTTGCTTGCTTGTCACATAGATTTTCAGGACTGTGTAGTGCTAAAGATTTGCAATTTCAACTCATGTGAGTTTGCATGTTTGTCACACTCTAATCATGCAATCAAGGGTCATCATCATATTTGGATTATATCCACAGAAAACAAACATTTTGGTTGAATAGCATTGGATTTAGTTTCAATTATATTTCTTTTATTCATGACAACTTCAGAGGTTGTTCCTTTCTCTTTTACTACTTGTAAAAATCTCTTTATTGAAAGAGTTACAAATGGATAAAATGGATTAAAAGCAAATCTGTAAAGGGGATGTGAATCAGCATCTGAAGTTTCAGTTTGAGTCAGTTGTCTTTCACAATCTCATTCCCAGCCTAAAGTAACTTGTTGCACAGTTCAGTTGCAGAGGCTTGAAAACCTATTTTCAAGGATTGTTGAAGACTTGAGACATACTGTTTTGATACTGAAATAAAAGTAACCTGGCTGTCATTTAAAGCACAGTCACAATGGTATCTAGACGCAGAGCATAAGACCTGTCTCTGCAAATGCTGAATCTGACCTTTGGAAATAGTTATTACACATGTAAATAAAACACTGACTCTCCGTATTTTAACACCAGATCATTATGGGTGGTTTTGAGTGTGGGGCTCTGATCTGTCCATTGTTCTAATCTATACTGTAGGTGCGAAATGTAATCAGTTGTGTATTCAGTGACATTTTTTAAAGACAGTTGTCTGTTTTCTTTTATGCTCAATCAGTAGAGACCCTGGCAAAACATGAAATGAGCAGACTAATGTGCAAACCATCTCTTTTTATGTTGCGTTTCCCTGCACTGAGGCCTTACTGTGGCTCTGCCAAATTTAAAAAATCAATAATTCTGTTTTGAAGGGTAACAGTTCCATTCTCTTAGTACGCGTAATTAATCTTCAAAAGGACCTGATAGATTGTTTTTATCTTTCTAAATTGGACCAAACTGGAAAAAAAGGCTGTATTAGAGAGTTTTCCCCCTTTTTGCACGTTTAATCTTTTTTTAAAACCACAAATTTCTTTTGTCACATAACTGGTTCGATGAAGAGCGAAAAGAGTGTGTGCAACTTTATCATGATTTCCTTTTGTCGTTGGTGGTGTTAAAGTTGTTTAAAATGCAGCATCCCTTTTCAACTTTCTCCAGCATGCAGTTTAAACCATGTTCTGCTAACCCAAGGTTTCTGGCCACCAATGGTTCAATCTTCACTGTCCAACACGTCCAAATCAAAGATCACACTAAATAATGACTGCTCATTTACTATGGCTACAGTAAGTAGAAAACCACAATTTTCTTATTAGTTTTGTTTCCAAGTTATTCTCTGTGCCTTTGTGCAGTAACATACATCGTTTCCGGTTGTCATATTATGGAAGTATCTTGAATCTATGGATGGAAAGATATCCAGTTCCCAGAATTCTCTTTCAGTGTACTGTATTTCAGAGGCATCCCAGCTGGTATCCAGTTCTAGCCAAAACGTTTTGCTAAAGTCATATTATAACTGTGTCCAAAAGAGATGAGAAAATTAATTTGAATCAGTTTGTATGTTGTTGTATATTTTAAAAGTTGTCTTTGATTAGAATTCCAGTAAGGGGACTCGCCAATTTCTTATTTTCACCACTGAGAGAAGAGTATGAGAAGAAAAGCTGTTTTTCAGCCTTTAGAGCAGCCCAGGAGCAGTCAAATGGTGTAGGAATGTTTAAGTACTGAAATTGTATTAGTGCAGTAGTTACTTTACTGAGTTAGTAGGAATACATGTATTTACAACATTTAGACTCAAGGAAGATTTTATGATAAAGTAGTTTTGGTTACATAGAAGAAATCTAATCAATGGCACAAACATGTAATGGTTCCACTGTGGTGTGTACGTACTGTACTGCACCTGTTGATCTCAAAGTTCCTCTAACGAAATGTGTAAATCCTCTGGTTCGAAACGTCTTGTGTTTCTTGCAACCGACTACCTGGTGAACTAGAATGAGAAGAGCTTTTGTATAAACAACAATGATTTTGTCTTATCGGTTCCAATAAAAGTGTCTTGTTCTTTCAGGCTCTTAATGTCAGTAAAAAATGAATTAAGCCAGTGTTCCTCTAATAAGACTCTAGTCACCTATTGGCCCCTAGGATGTCTGTCCGTCACAAATAATAATGAAATAACAGCCAGTATGAAAAACCAATAAAGATTTACATTCAATTTTTTATTCCCATTTACCAAAACAGAAATGTCTTAATTACATTAAATGCATTGTTTTTAAAAATCATTTTCTTTGCAGTAATGATTTTTAGAATGTTATTATTACCCTTGACATTATACAGTTTACCTTTATGAGAATTTACAGTAGCATGCAGGAACTGTGCTTGACTACTAGGGGCAGTGTTAAGAATTTAATGGCTTTGTCCAGCTATTATTAAACATAATTGAAATCTTGGTAATTGAAAAGGGTGGACAGCTGTTCCTTTGTGAAGTGATTTGGGGATACTTGGAATCTACTGTCTTGCTGTGTTTGAAGAGTGATGCTGTATTTTGTGTGCATACCTCGTGCCAAGATGTGCAAGCGTTTATCTTTTGTTGTTGTTGTCATTTGTTCTTATGTTATTTTTTTAAATGTGAACTCTTGCACAAATATTTATCTTTATAAAAACAGAAATAGCGTGTATTGTATAGCAATTAAAGTATATAGATCTTGGCTTTTGAATTTTTATGTATAGCCACTGAAGCAAATGTTAAATCGATCCTAAATAATTACACATATTGTCAAAGAAATAGTGCTGATACTGATTCATGAATTTTGTACATAAATTATTTAAGAAACGTGCCTTGGTTTCTTTGTTTTTTTTCCAGTATTTTACAGGAGTACGTCTTTGCAGCTCAGTTTTTAATAAGAATGTGGAGTAGTCTTAAGTAGACACATTTTTTGGCTTTCAGTAATACTTGTTATATACTATACTGATGCAGTAAAAACGTTTACTGTACTTATTGTCACATAAATTTAGCTCAATGCTCATCTCATATTTTTCCAAACAAATAAGGTTATTTGCCACTTTTCCACACTTTTATTGGGAATATTTATAACACAAATGCAACAGGTCTAGTTTCTGAAGAGGTCCACTTCAGAGGTCTAGCTAAACAATAGCCCCCTGTTTGTCTGTCATTAGGCTGACTACATCATGTGCCCTAACTGAATCCTAACCTTTTATGCAATTGTATAGGTACACAACTTCTTTTTTTCTGTCTCAAGACCTCTCAACCAGCACTCTTTCTTTTGATCCTTCTTTGTCCTTTCACTGTTTCTCTGTGTAACCCTCTGTATAGGCAGGCCTTGTGTCAGGTGTGCTTGGTTTAACCCACACCTGGTTTCAAGTGGTCTCTGTCTCCCAGCATCTGTTTTGACTCTGCAGAATTCTAGCCTGGTTTTGAGTCAACATCACTGCATCCTATGGAAACTGCTCTTGGACAGTAAAAACACCTCTTCCAGTCAGCAGTGTAGACTCCATCGCACAAGTGCATTCACACAAAGAAAGCAAAAAACTTTTAAAGTCTGTCATTTCTTTGAAGCCCCCAAGAGGAGACAGTACTATCTCACCAGCTCTTTAGAAAGAATGACCAAGGGAGCTACTGTTTATCTCCCGAATGCCTTCTGTGAAGTCAGTTCTGTAATCATATTTTATACTTAGTTAACAAACAGGATAAATATGATCTCAACCTGTTTATTTGAAAACCAAGTGACTTTATAATGTTGGTTAGAATATCACAGTCATTCATTAAGGTGCCTTACTGGATCTAGACCAAAAATACAACAGATCTACTCTTCCTGTTCTTTTCTGGACAGGCTGCAATTACAGCATGTAATAATCACTGAAGGAGTTTCCTGTTACTATTTTCTATAGAATTAGAAATTCATTAACTCTTTAACAAATTAAATGCCTGTGACCTATAAATAATGTGGTTGTATTTTTGTTTGAAATGGTAAAAGGAATACATTAGGTGCTTCGCAGATGCATAACTGTAGGTTGAGCCACATCGAAAGTCTACAAAAGATTCCACACTTGAATAGCTACAGTACCTGTTTAATTGTGCAGTATTTCTCTCACTGCATATCAGGTCTCCTATGTTAAAGGCCTGAACTGCTTAAAGCAAGACTGGTACTGTATATTCCATGATGATGATTACATGATGAAGGGTCTTCTGTATTTTTCCTCCAGTTTAGGTCATGAAATTTGCAGAGAAAGCATCAAATATCCATCCATTTTCGAACCTCTCCTTCTTTCGGGTTCATGGGGGGAGCCTATCCCAGCAATCAACAGGGGCAATACGGGATACGCCCTGGCCGGGACACCAGTCCATTGCAGGGAATGCTCCCACCAGGCTCAGTTTTCTCAGAAGCCAATTAGCCTATCAGTTTGGACTGTAGGAAGAAACCTGAGCATCCGGAGTAAACCCATGTGAACATGGAGAGAACATACTGTACAATACAAGCTCCATGGAGACAGGACCCCTGGGCTGGAAATTGACCCACTGCTAACCACTCTACCACCATGCCACCCAGTATGACAATATTTTACTGTTTAATACTAAATATTTTGTAAGATTTTTTTTTACAGTACATAATTCAGAGCTCACATCACAAGAAACCCAAAGCCTCTTATGACTCATTATAGCAGCAGTTTAATTGCATGGCTGTAAATGAATGTCTGACTTCTTCTGCATCCTATGGCACAACCCTATTCATGTTCTGTATGCTGCAGGACTTTACTTGAAACTTAGAATTATCAATACTTTTTCTTCTTACATCCCCCCTACCTCAAATTGACAGTTATTAATGTGGTTCTCCACCATGACAAGGTAGTTATCACTAAGTGGACTGACTCAGCTGGATGGATTTACACCCTCATTTAAATTATAATGTTAGCATGCTCAAAGGGGTTGGGCAGCCAGTTGACCTTGGACCCCTAGAGGTTTTTTTTCTCCGTACTAAGGAGTCTTTGGTTCCTCTCCTCCGTTGTCTTCTGGTCTTCTGTCCTGTATTGACAAGATGTACAGTATCGTCAATTGCATTGTTAAGCGCCTTGGGGCAACCTTTTTGTGAAAGGTGCTATATAAAAATAAACTGAATTGAATTTAGTTACTAGGGACATCCCAGGAGTCATTGTATGGTTAGCTGGTGTGGCTCTGGTAAGTTAATAAAGTCCATTTGGAGATTCTTGAGCACATCGGCTTTAGCATTCGGAGATGCTTGGAGCTACTCGGACAAAACTGTACTGTAAATGGGTCAGTTAGTGATGTACAGTAGGCCTTTCATAAACTGGCAATATCCGAACTACAAGGTGAAAACTACAGTAGTGGGACTTTTACAAAATTCAAATGGGAATTTTTCATCTCCCATTTAGCAAAAGAAGCACTGCATTTGTGTGTGAAGCTTACAAACAATTTCCTTAAAAATAAATACCATTTTGACGCACGGTTTAAATTCCCAGCTATGCTGTAATATTTTATTTTCTATACAAATGCATTTTCAAAATAATAGTCATTGACTGAACCCTGACCTCATTACTCCAGGGATGTGGCAATGCAAGCTTTCCATATGTACAGTACCTTTCTAAATTCTAGATTTCCAGGATTCTGAGAAATTTCAAGGTTGCTTGAGATTTTTATTAGAGTCTTTTTGCCTAAATGTACTATTCACAAGTCTGAATTTTCTGAAAGTTGTTCAGCAAATGTTAAACGGAGGCTATCAGACGTCTTTTAATTTTCATAATGTTTGAAACAGAATTCCTTCCATCTAAATTTAAATTATTTAGAAACTTGGAAGAATCGGCAGAGATGTTAATCATTAAAAAAGCCCTCAACAGTCTTTTAAAATTTTGCTTAAATTTGGGAAGTCCATTTCCACATTTCTGAGAGTTCATCTAAAAACAGGAACAGTGAAAACCAAAAATAATTTCTAAAAGTGGGAAACAAGTTTTGAAAAATTATGTTTTGCTAAATGTATTCTTCACATCAATGTTTTAAATGATTAGCAAGATTAGTGTTTTGTATTTGAAGAACAATGAATGTGAAGAAAATGAGAGGGACATTGTCCTCTTTAGGGAAACACTGCTGTTTTGACTTCTTGATTCGACAGCAGAAATCGAGTCCAATTAAGAAAACAAGCTTCATAACTGGTCAAACATAGCTACAGTAAAAGTAACAATGAAAGTCGTGTAAGACATCCGTGTAGATGAGTATTTCCAAATTTACCATTTCTACCAGAATTACAGAATGTGTGATATTTTGATTGACTCTTGGTCATTAAACCACATTTCCTGACTGCATCAACCATTTGACAACTGTTCTAATTATAACAGATCATCTGTTCAGAAGAAGAAATATATCAGGAAATACAGGAAGCACACAGTACAGTATATGTAATCTAAGAGCTAGTATATAAACTGAACAGCAAAAAAATGTTTAACATTTTTTATAGCAGCTGCACTGATGTTTTACTAAACAGACATATTGTACAGTAGGTATATTATGATGATTAACATTTGTCATTAATAGGGTTTATCAACTGGGGGGAATGTTACAGCAGTAGCCACCATTGGAAGCAACACACACTATCAGACACGTGTTTTGTACCAAGTTGCATTTCTGTCTTGTGCACTTTATTGTCTTGCCCTGTTATTGTCATAGATCGTAGATCCTAAACAATCATACTAGATGCTTCAACGAGGAAATGTGCCCTGGAGGAATGTTTCAATAGCATGAAATTACTGAATACGGAAAAGACAGCATGTGTGGTTAGGGGACTTGATCAACATACAGTAGCACCTTGGAGTCAGGTTGGCATCATCACTACAAGTGGAGTTCTGTAGCGACCATTAAACTTGGACTTCTCCATTGATCTCCGCAAGGTGCTGGGACTGGTGGTCTTCCAGATCATGGCCTATCATTCTTCACTTCTTCATACCTGTCATTTCCTGTTAGACTAGTAACTGCTGGTTATGAACACCCCAAACAATGAGTAACAGTCTATTAAAATATCAATGGCACATAGACATTGTTCTCTTCATAGGCAGATCATTGTGGTTCCTTCCTGTGTTTTTCTTTCTTGATTTTCTCCAGGCACGGCATTCAACAAGTTCAATGACCTCATCACCTATGCTCAGTCAAGTCTCAGTCAAGTCTCTCCAACGTGGAGATTATTATGCAACAGTCACTCAAGTGTAAATGTAAATGATGTACTGTACACTGCAGTTCTAGAGTGTATTACACAGCACCTTTATATTGTACATACTGTATGCAACTGTAAGACACCCTTGATCACCTGTTAATTATTCTTATTGTTATTTGTAGTAGTAATAATAATACTACATTAGGCAGATTAATGGAAGTCCTAATCCCCCATTTAGCTCTTGCTGCAGGAACAGAACTCAATGCCTCTTATATCATGTTCAGGAAAAATAATGTTCAACGAAGATTATAATCAGCGTACTGCAACACCAATCAGGCTTCTAGAGCATTATGATTTCCTGTACATTGTAAACAAAGAGTCATTGGCTTAGATCTGTTGAAGAAATTAAGGTAACAAACTAACCATAGCACCATCAATAAAAAGTCTTTGATATGTTTTTAATAACTGAACACTATTTTTTAATTAATTCAAATTACAGAAAATGATTGCACATACTGTATGTACTAATAAAAAACGTATATTAAATATACATGCATTATGAAATATAAAACTCTTTGCTCTAAAATAATTTATTTTTTTGTTTTAATAGTTTTTCATGAATTTGAATGTTAAAACCATAAAATATTAAGTAATTATTGCAA